GATATCGACATCTAGTTTTAATGTTTAGGGATTTGACTCTGTTTCAGGCAGACTAGACGATCTAGGGGTGGGAAGATCTCACCTACAACAAAACTGGATCCTGCATAAAACAACCTTTACTGTATTGTTGAGCTGGCAGGAAGTAAGGGAAAGCTGGGTGTAGGGATGTGTAGGGTTGACATGGGTGGTTGGGGAAAGGTTTGAGCAAAAATTAAGATAGTATGATAAGAAAGCAATCATACCAAAAAGGCCTAATTTGTCACCATTGTCAAATTTCATCAAATTATACACATAAAATCTGTGAATTGCATTATATGTAAATTATACTTCAATAAAACTGACCCCAGAAACAATATCCATTGAAGGACTAAGGACACCTGTCCCTGAGGTCAGGTGTCCAAATTAGTTTTATGCATGAAGACTGGTTCTTGAACTGTTCTTGTCAAGGTGAAGGAGCTGAACCTGGGACCCCAGTATTAACCTGGGAACATGGGAGGGAGCTGGTTCCCGTGAAATGCATACATAAATCTTTTGAAAAAAAGCAACCTCAATTTAGGACTCTAGATTTTCACAGATTAAGATTACCTGAATATGAATTCCAATCAAAAATCTCCAAATGCATGAAGAAATAAACCACTGTGAATGGGTGTCAGTATTAATAATCAACAATAAATTTAAATTCTCAGAACTTTCAGATGTTAAAATTACCAGATACAAAACATACAATAACTTAATGAGTAATAAACAAGACTATCAAAAATTACCAAACATTATTCATTTTTTGAAAATTAAATGGAATTTATAGCAATGAGAAATATATAATCATTGATAGTTTTAAAATCTCAATGTATGAGTGAAACAACAAATTTACTACAGTTGAACAAAGAATAAGTGAACTGGATCTAGATTTGAAGAAATCCACATCAATCTATACCAAAATATAGAACAGAGAATCATGTATATATAGAAAGTAAGGAGAGGTTAAAGGATGTAGAGGATAAAAGTAAAAGGTTTAACACACATCTAAACAAGGTCCCAGAAGGAAAATACAGGGAAGGCAATCTTTAAAGAGAGGATGGATGAAAGTTTTCCAGAACTTAACAAAAAACGTAAATCCTCAGACACATGGAGCACGTGTTATACCAAGCAGGATAAACATCTTAAAATCAACCTCTAGATAAAATGAGGTGAACTTGAAGAAACTTAAAGACGAAGGGAGTATATTAAAATCAGTCAGAAAGAGAAGAAAAATTGTCCCAAAGAATAACTGTAAGGTTGATAGCAAACTTCTCAACAACAATCATGAAATCCAATCATGGAGTTCTGAGAGAAGAATAACTGTAAAGTTACAATTGTGAACCCAGCAATATTACCTTTCAAATACAAGGGCAAAAGAAATGATATTTTCAGATAAAACTGAAACAATTTACCACAAACACCACCTACACAAAAGGAATTTTCTAAAGGATTGCTTTAGAAGAAGGAAAAATGAATCTAAGGGGAAAAAGCCTGTAAGAAGAGTAAGCAAAAAAAATTATGAATATGTAAGTACATCTAATACAGATTTACTTAATAAAATGATGATAATTATGGTGTTTAATTTGTGTAAGTTTAATAAAAACAAGCTAAAATGGAAGAATACAACCTACACATAAATTAGGAGAACAGTAGTAAGAATTAATGTCTTAAGGATCTTGTCTGTCAGTGGGAGGTTTAAGATATTGTTTGTAGTCTTTGTTAAATATGCAAGGTAAAATTTTTTAGGTAACCATAAAGAATGGAAATAGAGTGTTTAATTTTCACAGCAGATAGCAGGCAAAATTATGTAGAAGAAACAAATACAAGAGGCTTCTTTTTATCATATAGTAAATAAAATCAACTACACTCATAAGTGGGAAACCTTTGTAGAGTCTTCAGGTATTAAAATTGGGTTGAGCAGGATACAGTGCTGGGAATTCCAGAGTAATCATTAAACCTGGGCAGAAGAAAAAGAAGGAGCATAAGAAGAACCTAGGGATTGTTGGTGGTGGGAGAGAAAAATAGGAAAGCGTTTACAGCAGAGATGTCAAAAGCTAAAGGGGCTGTGTGAACACAGCCTGAGCTTTATCCATGCCTTGGGTAGAGGCTGGAGGTAGAGCCATGTCAGCTGATGAAAGAATGGCTGACAGGTGCTGAGGGGAGACTAGGATGCTGAAACTTATGCCCATCAAATTGGGCACGTGTACTGCATCTCACAGGAGGATTCCTCCCAGCCCCAGCCTTGGTCAGAGCAGCTTAAGAGGAACAGGCAGGGAAAGAAAGTGGGAGAGGAGCAATGGGGCGTCTCCCAGGCAGCACTCAGGACAGCTACCACCCTGCCACACCCTACTGACACACAGAAGGAGCTGAGGCCGAAGAAGCCAAAGGGTATACATAGGCCTTGGCACAGGCGGTCAACAAAAGATCCAACCAGGCAGCTGGGAATCGGACGGAAACGCTGGATAACATGGGCCCTGGCAACGTGGGGATATGTGCCCAAACACAACTGCTTCTACAATTAATCGCTGCCTCCGTTCCTTCACATGCAAGGGAACTGCTCTATAGCTGTCTCTGACCCCACCTGCCCAACAGTTCCCTTGTGCCACTAAAAAGTGTTCTTATTTAACAGGAAAACACATATATCACAACATGTTTAGAAGAATATATCGTAGATTTGAAGGCACATAAAAATGCATCTGGGTGATAATATTGGGTTGTCAGAAAAGTCATGACGCATTTTTTCCATGAAAAACATAGAAAAATATGTCATGACTTTTCTGACAACCCAATAACTAACACTTATATCCTGCTTACACTATGCCAGACACTATTCTCAGTGCCTGACATATATGATCTCATTTAATCTCATGAGCCCGAGATCACACAGCTAATAGAGGCAGAGTTGGGATTCAAATACAGATGCTCTGGTTCCAGAGTCTTCACTTTTAAATACTATGCTGCTTCTGGGTGGTTGGAGGCTATCTTACCTGGAGAAGGTAGAATTCCAGGTTGGTTCTATGAACTGAATATTCCCCCAGAATTCACATGTTCATACTCTAATCTCCAATGTAACAGTATTATGAGGTAGGGCTTTGGGGACCTTTGGGAGGTGATTGGGCCGTGAGGGTGGAGGCCTCATGAATAGGATCAGTATGCTTATAAGGAACACATTAGAAAAATGATCTCTCTGCCACATGAAGACACAGCAAGAGACCAGCCATTTGCAAACCTCTCCAAGAACCTGACCGTGATAGCCCCCTGATATCAAGCCTCCAGAAATGCTGTTGTTGAGAAATGTAGTTAAGCCACCCAGTCTATGATATTTGCTATAACAGCCTGAACTGATTAAGACAGTTGGGAAACGATGGCTTGTCTCTAAATATTTGACAGCCTCAATGGAAGAAGGGTTAAACTTCTTCTGAAGGGACTAAAGAGATTGGAATTTTAAAAGTGACTCTTTTCAGCCTACTTTGTAACAGTCAGAGGACCCCAAAGAAGAAATGGGCTTTCTCAAGCGGTGCTTACTCCTTCATCACTAGAAACTAAATGCACTCAGTGTTAATAATGTGGAGAGGATTTCAGCATTGAGTGGGTGCTTGTAGGAGACTCTATAAAATATCTTCCATGCTTTGAGAGTCTATAGGACTGTGAGGCTGGGCTAAGAGCTCAGATCCATAGAACTAGCTGTTGAGGCCTCTTAACTTTTATAATAGCTACATTTTCCACTTTGTTCCTGAGCATCTTGAAGTCAGATTTTGCATTGGTATATTTTAAGACTGTTCCCACTTGGATACCCTCCCTTCAGAGGTCAGCGTAGGCATCACCTCCTCCATTCCTAATACCAGTTTAGGTGCCTTCCTCCCCTCCATCTTTCCCCGACCATGCCACTTCTCATACTGTAGTGAATTGTCTGTTTCATCACCAATCACTCCCTGTATTAACTCCTTAAGGCTGGAGTAACAAATTACCACAAAGAGGGTGGCTTAAAACACAGATATTTATTGTTTCACAGTTCTGGAGACTAGAAATCCAAACTCAAGGTGTCGGCAGGGCCAGGTTCTCCCTGAAGGCTCTAGAGGAGTATGCTTCCTTGCCTCCTACTAGCTTCTGGTGGTTGCTGACAATCTTTGGTGTCCCTTAGCTTGAGGTTGAGTCACTGACATTTCTGCCTCTGTCTTCACATGACCTTCTCCCCTCTTGCCTGTGTCTCTGTGTGTCTCTCTCTTTATAAGGACACCAGTCATGTTGGATTTAGGGCTTACCCTAATCCAGTATGCCCTCATCTTAATTTAACTAGTTACATCTTCAAAGATCCTGTTTCCAAAGAGATCACATTCACAGGTAATGAGGGTTAGGACTTTACTATGTCTTTTGGAGGGACAGAATTCAACCAATATCCCCCAACCTCCCATGTTCAATAGACTGTAGCTCTTTGAGGACTGTATCTTTATTCCACATTTTTTTATTGTGTTGACTATGAACCACACTGTTCTGGGCACCGAGGAAAAGTCACAGTCAAGGTCCTGACAGGTGGTGGAATTTCATTTCTATGTGGAGGCAGATAGCAAAAAAAGTGGTCATTCAATGGTGAAGCCAAATGTCAATCATATGTAGATAGATGATAGATAGATAGATAGATAGATAGATAGATAGATAGATAGATAGATGATAGATACTTACTATATATTTGATAAATGATATTAGTGCAAACAGTAAAAAACAAAGTGTAAATTATTCCATTTCATCTAGTCAGTGCTTTTTGGCATGTTTACCAGAATCTAAAACTTTGGTTTCCTCTCTGTCCTTGTAAAACTTGGTTCTCCGGAACTTGCATTCTTATCTCAATTGACTCCCCTCACCCTAACCCTTCAAATTACATTTCTTAGTATCAGAAAATAAAACTTGTAAAATACATTTCTAATCTTTTTTATTTAATTCAACCTTGCAACTAAAGAAGAAACACTTGCTCTCTTTGCTTCCAGGGCAGTGTCACTTCCTCTCCGGCTCCATTTGTCCAGATGCCAGGTGAGTACTTCAGTTCAACAAACGATTCATCCCTTTGAGTTTAAATTGGGCATTTGAGCTTCCATTATTTTATAACTGTCTTATGGCACTTTCAAAATTTGACTTCTTTAAAATGGTTGTTTTTAAAATACAAAATCAGTGAAGACAGACCTAATTCAGTCATTCTTGAATTTGGAATTCAGTCTGTCTTGAAGACAGCCTTTTGATCTCTTGCCTAACAGAAGCTTTTTGGGCAAAAGCAATAGCATTTGGGCCCTTGATACAATTTTAAAATGTCTAAAATTTTGGTACCATGATCTGATGGAGTATGGAACTCCTTAGAATACAAAAAGAGAGACCTGTGGGCAGATGAAGGAACTGCCTATATGTCATGCACTGAGTTAGGCATCTTATATTCATTTCAATACATATGTTTCATTAAATACTCCTGGGAGGATTAAAAAAAAGGGGTGCATTCTTGATAACAGTGTTGGGCACACTCATATGTACACACTCACACATGTACATAGACACACACATTCCTTCCAGATCCCAAACTCAGACGTGGCATAGTCTTTCTCAACAATTTTAGTCACCTTCAGAGATGGATAAGGGAAAAGATTATGCAGTAGAAGATCCCAATGTTTGAATGTTTCTCTGTTGTTTCCCAATCACATTTACTGTCACTGGAACCGGTTCCCTTCTATAGAAGAAAATTTCTGCAGCTTCTCTTACCACCTACAATTATTCTTCCTCTTTTTAAGGAGAAAAATATATGCTTAAGAGAGCAGTGGGGTTTTTTTCTTTGTGATTGGTTTTATTCAGAAGTTAGAAATATAGACATTAAGACCCCAAAAGCCTTATTTACATAGTCTTTATTCTGTTCTCAGCCTTAACCATTCCTGTGGATAGAAATTCATGGTGTGAAACAGAACCTTATTTATTGATATTAATTTTCATTTGCTCCAATTTTTTTTCTGGGGAAGTATGTTTATGATGAAACCCCTAACTGCAGCTTTCAAATTCATGAGCAGATTAGAGATTTGGGGCTATAAAATTTAAGATAAAAGTGGGGTGAGTAGAATCATGCTGTAAACTTCTATGAGGGCTTTTGATTTCTTCTGAATGAATGAATAAATTTACATGTAATTGCTGAACACAGTATTAAATACTAGGCTTACAGAAAATGGATAATACATAAACTCTGCCCCTGTGGAGCCTGCAGGTCGATTGGAAAGACGGTTGTAGCTCAGGTGAGAGAGTAGTGAGCATAACACGAAGTGCCACATCATGTGGCACGGGCCAAAGTGCTGTGTGTGTCGAGTAATGTAGGACTGAGTCATGATAACAAGGGACAGGCAACCCGATGAATCCGACTTCCTACAGAAGAGTGGACGGGGTGGGCAGAGACAAAGCTCAGAAGTGGTCCACTGTGGCTGGGGGGAAGGTCAGAAAGTCAAGCATGCGCATCTTCCTCCCAGGTCAGCTTTTTCTGTGGCCTCAGGGTGTAGGTCTTAGCTAATTAGACTACATCGGCCAAGAGGCGGAAACAATCAGTTTTATAGACCTTGAGTCCATGGCCCTGAACATGTAAATGATAACGTGTTTCCTGCTACAACTAAGCTACAGCGTCAGAAAGTCTTTAGCAAACTCATCTCTTCCCTTCTGTGTCCACTGGCCTTTCCTTAAATAAGACTCTTCTGGGTTTCGGCTTCTTCCCGTTTTCACCAAGGGAAACTCTCTGTGCCAGGCTGCCTCTTCCCAAACTTGCAGTGCCCGGGTGAGCTGAGTGAGAGACTCAGTATGGCCACAAGGGGGCAGCAAATAACATGAGACTCCTCAAAGCCAGAAAACATTTTTTGTGTTTTCTCGAACTCGGCTGCACAGAAGCCATTATTAACACCCCAAAGCAAGCAAGCCATGTCTGCTAGGTGCAAGACACAGTGTTAAAAGTCAGTCAGATTACAAGGAATTAGAAGAGTACAGCCTGTCTTGGATTGGGGGTGGGGTCATAGTATCACCTTATCTAGAGATACTGAATCTCTGATAACATGCCCAGAAGCAGTCTCTTGTTAACGGTCTTGTGTTTATGAGAACAGAGCTCAGAAGCTGTAGAAAAGATGCCTCATCTGATAAAATGTAAATGCCAAGGGATTCTTATCTCATTAAGCCCAACCCCTTCCTAGCACGATGCCTGGCGCATAGAAAACGTATGTTGAGTGAGTAAATTGACGAGTTACTGGACCACCTAAAATGAACTCATCCCCCCAAGGCAGAGTGAACTTTAAACATATCAGTTTTTGGGCTGGACCAGTGAAAAGAGGTAATACAGCAGTATTTAACACTCTCAGGACATTTATCTATTTAAATGTTAGCCTTGGAATCAAGCTATGTAAGTAACACCATTTCCACAGGTGGAGAGGCTCAGGTCCAACAGAGATGCCTTGACTTTGTTTCCCAAGCGGAAAGTTTTGCCTGTTGGTTTTTCATTTGCCAACAGGTTCGCCGGTCATGTCGGGTTACTACGGTGTCAGGAGATCTTTCCTGTCCGACTCCGACTTCCACAACACTAAATTTGCAAACGACGCCTGCGCCTCCAGCCTGGGGAAGCCCTTTGCCTGCGAGCCTTCCGCAGGGCAGAGCCACCCGACCCTCCTGGATTCCTACTTCCCGGAGCCCTACGGGGACCACCGAACCCCGGCCCTGGCCCCCAACACTGGCTCTCTGTTTAGCGCCTCGCCCCTGCCGCCGCTCCTGCCGCCGCCCTTCCCTAGCGACCCCACACACTTGGTGCTGGTGAGTATGCAGGCATTTCACAGTTAGGGGAGAGGTCAGACAGAGCTGGGTGGGCAGCCCATGCGCTTGGCAACCAGGCTGAAGCCAGGTCTGGCTCGCTCTGGAGACCAGGGAGGCTTCTCTGCAGCTGTCCCCGGAGATGCCAGGACAGAACGCACAGCCAGGATACACTCCTGAGAAGCCTTCCACAACGATCCGTGCCACCCACTACAGCAAGAGGGTCTATCTGGGGATTGGGGAGAGGGCAGCTGATAGAGCAGGACTTGTATCCATTTTGTTCATACTCAACTGGTTTTGCCAGATGTTCCCCCATCATTCCTCCAGCGCATAAGTTATACCTCAGACAAGGCTAGGCTTTAATCTCCAGGGACAGATACATCCACACTGCTCTTGTCCATCCAGTTAGTTCCCTGCCTCCCCTCCCCAACATTGTTGCCCTGTGGAACCTTGTTCTCTCTCAGTCCTTCCAAAGAGGTGAGTTCTTAAAGATCTGACACTCTTCTTACAGAAAACTGTAAAGCCTCCAACCACAAAAGAATGAATCTCTAAAGATGGAATTTTAGACAAAAGAGGGTGGGGATTAACATTATTGAGTACCTACTCCAGGCAGGAATTTTTATGTACCTTTGTCCATTTAATATTTGCAACATCTCAGGATATAGTTATTAAAGCCCCATTTTACAGATAAACTAAGTGAGGTACTCAGTCAGGAAGCAGTAAGTGGCACAGCCATGAGTTAGACCCCAAATTTTCCCAGCTCCAAAGATGTTCCTACCTCTTAACTGAGGGCACCGTGGCCTTCCCAGCCCATTCAAAAGCCCACCACTTAGTTTAGAGGCCCACCCCTTCCAGGAGCAGCCAGCATGACTTTCCCACTGTGGACAGGGCGTTCTAAGACCTCAAGTATTGTGAAGCTCAAAAAGAATGCAAGACATACTACATTGCAAATGTCAAAATGCTGTATAAATGTTCATTTTATTATTCTCGTATTTCACTCATTTAATGTTGCATTTTGGGGAAAGGAATTAAGGGAATTTAATTCTAGAGTAAGAAGGGAGCTAAAACTTTCATTTCTGGTGTCAATCACCAGAGGGAAGGACTGCTTGGTAAGGAGGCTTTGGACAGCAGAGGGAGGACCCCAAGTCCTCTCTGGAGGCCTCAGTCCAGCGTGGCACCTCAGGTTGGAGAGGAAATCTGTCCGCATCAGAGTATCATCTAATGACTAACCCTGGTGACCTTTCTATTCTCCTCAGAGGGACTCGTGGGAGCAAACAGTGACAGATGGTCTCAGCCAGCTGGACCCTATGCCCACCGATGTCCTGCAGACCTTGCCACCCAGCACAAGTTGCCTCTCCCAGCTGGAATCAGGGAGCGCCACCCAGCACAGGAGCTCAAGCTGGGGGGCCCCCCTAGCTGGGGCTCAGTCCTACTCACTGCATGCACTGGAAGATCTGTACCACACACCAGGTTACCCCACCCCACCCCCCTACCCCTTCACCCCTTTCACAACAATGTCCAACGATCTACCACCCAAGGTGATGCCCGTCTCCCCAGACGAGGGGGCTGATGCCTCTGCCCTTCAGGACCCTTCAACGTGGACCAAAGAAGATGGAAGCATGGTGTGGGGGTCATACGAATGCCGCAGAGCTTACTAAGGTGGGGGGGGGCAACAAAAAACTTCTTTGCTTTTCTTTCACCTGGGTTCTGTATTCCACAGATTGTTTTTGGTGTGGCCGCTAACTCAGAACTAGATCTTCAAGATAAGCCATCATGCCACCCTTTGTTAATGAATGATGGCATTTATTTGTAATCCTCCCCACCATAACCCCACTGAAAGACAACATGAAGTTACTTGCATTTATCGGGGACCATATTCTAACCAGGCAACCTGACAATGAAGTCTATTTGGAACTTTAGTAACCCATTGCATTCTGAATCTTCTGTTATCTTTGAAGTATCATTTTGGCACTAATAATTTTTTTCTTAATTTACATTAAAAAGATTTTGCAGATCATAAAACATACTGATTTTCCTGTTCAGTTTTTCTTAGTTATGAATTATGTGTGTTGTTTAGTAAAGAGAATGAATACGAGGTAATATAGATTAGGGCATTTTATGCCATGTGACTTTAAAGCATGAATTACTACATACATTTCTCTCCTTACAGTGGCTTGTAAAGGCCCGATAAAAATATGTCACAATATATAACTGCTTTATTGTCATTAAAGTAGGATGACGTCGGGATGCTATGGCTTCATAAATATATAATTTTGACTCTGCCCTAAAGCCCAGGATGTTTAAAAGTAGACTAGCCCATAAAACAATAAAGGCCAAACTTACTTTGATCAATGGTAGCTGCAATTAAGCTAGACATTGTCTCTATGATGGAATAAACCTTCCAGTTGTCAGAGTGGATTAGTAAAATGGGCATTCTGTGATCAAATAAGGACCAATGCATTGCAAAGAAAATACAGAGAGCAGGACTGGGCTGTCAGCAAAAAACAATGGACCACCAAACACCAAGAAGTAAAGGGATTTTGAAGAAGAACATATTGTCAGGTGTTGGCCAGTAGCATTACACACAACAACTCCCACTTAAAGGAAGACCTTATTGGTGGCTCATTGGTCAGAGTTGTGCAGCTCTTACTACGTATAAATGAAGAAACTGACATCTGAAGTATTCATCTATCTCATGTAAATCTGACTGGTGTGGATTCCTTTGCCAATTAAGTTCTGAGAGTAATTCCCACCAAGCAGTGTGCCTGTCTGCAGGCCAAGGCCATCTAAATGCCATGCACACACTTTGACTTTGCAACGCATAAGTCAAGGCCCACAGGTTACACCTACACTCTTCCTGTTATCTTCCTACCACCTCTATCCCTGTAACACATTTTCTTGACCCCTCTGGTCCCTCCTGACCCAATGCCTTTTCCCTCTGTCTCCTGGAGGCCCAATCCTCTCATTTTCCACCTAGTTTCCCAAAGCCCCTCAAGGGTCTCCATCACATCCTCTATGACAGTGTCCCATGCTCTACCTCAGTTAGATAGGGGTCCAGAAAATCAAATAAAGATATTAATTTACAATAGAAGTGAATAACTGATATTCCTCCTTCTCCAGGCCTTTAAGGGTATTTCCTCGCTAAGCAAACGCACACCTAATGTATGGAGTGCCCACAGGAGTGCTTGAAAAGGGTGTCTTCCTTTATCTCACACGTCTCAGCTCCCTCCCGGGAGAGCATCCCTGCAGGAGCAGACCTAGGAGCATTTTGGTCCTCAGCTGCTTGGCTGCACTCTCCCCATCCTCTGCCTTGCACCTTCCCTCCTGTGTCTCCTTTTTGCCACCTGATCTTTACTTTGCTCAACATTTGCCTTCAATGGCTTGGGGGCAACTTCTTCTATGGGAGAGATAGATGCTCTTTCTTAAATCTACTGAGACTTGAGACCTCAGTCCTGGTTCCCAGTATCCTTGGCAGAGCCATCTGTCATTCAGTGTCACTCATACCTGGACAGCAGACCCCTGCATCAGAAAGATGAGGTCTGGCCTTCTCTATAGACTTAGGGGTCTTCACAAATGTCTCAAAATCATTTTTCTAGATTGAGAGTTTAAAAATTATAATAATTACAGTCATCTACTGCTTACTATTTGTTACTAAGCAGCACACACACAATAACAGCTGTGTAAATCATGTGTCCACATCACTTTAGCTTTTTTTTATCATAATGCCAAATGTTAGGCATGCTCATTTCTCCTAGTCTGCTATCTTCTCATGTCTTATGTTCATCTCTTCACAACTGGAGGATTCATTGGCTCTCAGATAAATACAGCTCAGCAACCAGTGGTGTCTACATTCTTTCCTCCTTCAAGTATCCAAGCCCTCTCATAGCGTTTGACAAATTTAATTTATAAAAAAAAGAGACATGCATAGTCCCATACTCTGTCTACAATCCAGTTAAGTCATCTAGTCTAAAAGGGATGGGGGTGGGGAGTGGTGCTAATAATTCCACATGATAAATGATTTTTAAGAATTTTATTTGGCTTGACAATGTGTTTCTATATTACATATATTTCAGTTTGGTTACATCTTATTATTCAGGGTATTTATGACACTGTGTGAAAAAGTGAAACCAAGCTACAAAATTATGACAGGAAAATTAATTATATTTCCCTATCCCATTTCCCATTCGAGTACTCCATATTTCCTACTGCATGCTGGGACTAAGCACATCTTTTCATAATAATGGACAATGCCAGCATAAGAAAAAAATGCACATTCTCTTCCTCTCCTTCCTTAAAGCTGCGGTACTTTGACTCACAGCTTGCCTGGGGAAGCCAGAGAAAATTAGAGCGCTTGGGTTCAAAACCTTTCAAGTCCTTTAAGATTTAAAGTAAGCACAGATGGTGATGTCAAGTTCAAGCTACTTAAGAAAGCTAAGTAGATGATAATGTCAAAAAGAAGCTGAAAACAAAATTTGGCCATGCAAAAGCTGCAATATAAACAATCCTTCCATAAATTACTGGAAACAGACATTATAATAGTTTAAAGTGTGTGTCTCTTACAATGTCATACAAGCCCTTAAAATAAGAACAGAACACCATATCTTATCTCGTTTGTTTAATAAATGCTCCAAAATGAGCATTATGACTTGCTACAGCTCAGTTAATAGTACATACTCTCATATGATGGTACTATTGTGGCAGGGAAAGCAGTACTCTAGCACACTATAAGAAATTCTACAAAGGGGAAAGAATCACTAACCCCCATAGTAAAGTATATATTTACTTTATACATATGTAAGGTATCACTAGTGTTTTTTTTCATCTACTATTCAATATGTAAATCTAAATAATACATTTATAAAAAGTGAAGCATCAGTAAATTTAAAGAACTGAAATAAAACAGAAACAGACTCAGAGATACAAGGAACAAACTGATGGTTGCCAGAGGGGAAGAAGGTGGGGGGATGGAAGAAAAAGGTGAAAGAGAATAAATACAAACTTCCAGTTACAAAATAAATAAGCCATGGGATGTAATGTACAGCCTTGGGAAAATAGTCAATAATATTGTAATAGCTTTGTATTGTGACAGATGGTTACTAGACTTATTGTGGTGATCATATCATAGGGTATATAAATGTTGAATCACTATGTTGTACACCTGACACTAATATAATATTGTATGCCAACTATACTTGAATAAAAAATAAATTTAAAAAAACGAACTGAAATAACAATTGATGTCCAAGGTTTAAGTCACTTTACCTTACAATGATTCTACCAATCACACACCATAATTATTGGGTTCTGTCTCAAGTATCCTCTCTATTCAAAACATGACTCTGTTCTTCTCATACACCATATTCAATAACTACTGATTCTAGAGGGTTTAAGGGCAAAATCACACACCCTAGCGGAAAAGTGACTCTCTAGACTTGTCAAGGGGAAGACTCATGAATGGATCAGCAACGTGTCTCCAGCATCTGGCTTAGTGCCCAAAATGTTGTAGATGCTCAGTAAAATCTTCATTAAGCTCAACTAAAATTAGACCACAAAGATGAATAACTGTTTAGACTCTGATGCTGTGGGTGACAACTCTCTCAGAATGAGGTATAAGAAAACCTTCACCATGTTTAGTATTTAACAGCCAAACTCTCTGCAAATGCTGACAATAGTGGATTTTGGGCCTTACTGGTAATATATTTAAATGATTAATTATTTTTAAATGTCTCTAAGAAGGAAAATTACTGAATCATTGAAGTAGCACAGGAAAATGTTTATATTTTCATGTAGTATCTGCATGTACTATAATGTCAAGACATCTTATAAATAAAAGTTAGTCAAAGTTTGGCATTATCACCAGTGTGATTAAAAATATATACGAAAAATAGATCAGGAACTAGAATCCCCAATGATCAGGCTAAATAGTGAGAAAATCTTCTATAATTATGGGCAAATAATGACACCATATTATTTTTCATCTTTGATATAGTAATGTCCTCTAATCACAACCTCTGATAAATATGTGGGTTTGTAACATGCAATATCATTGTCAATACATTACAAGCCAAGGAGAGAGAATAGTAACAAATTTTACAAGCTCCAAAAGGAAAACTATGTAGACAAAACAAATAATATCTAAGAATTCACTCTTTTGCATTAGGAAAATTGATAGCTGTTCCTACTAACCTCCCTAATATCTCGAATGGAATAATCTAAAAGTTTAATGTTTAATAAATTAATTTGGTCGTAAACGAAAGATTACTGAACTGTGTTATTTCTTAACCTTGGTAAGATATTCATAGGCTTTTATCACGGTCATCTGTAGATGTTTTTGTATGACATATATCACATAATAAAAACGTTTTAAGTAAAAGATGAACCTTTTAAGCAGTGGCTGATGGTATTTTCTTTAAGTGATAACATTTTGAAATGCTCACTCCCCATGGAAGCGTCTTAAGGAAAAGTTAAAACTTTGAATATGTTTTATGGAAAGAGACTGACTTACTACAAATCATTACACAACCTCCAGCTAATAGTCTTCCTGGTCATTTTCATATGGACCAAACATTCATTCTGAGCCCAGTGACTCCTTGTTTCCTCCACATTTTTGGAACTTGTTATTTCCCACAAGGTTTGGTAACAGTCTCTTAAAGTCGAA